TGCAGATTCAACATAAGAACTTTTCAACTTGAGAACCACCTTCCAATACGGATTAAGTTCTTAAGTAGAGACCCCACTGTATTAATGTTCTAATTTTTATATATTCACTATTTAGCACTGTATGTTTTATGCAATGCTTCTCATTAATGGGGCAGTATTGAAATCAAATCAATATATAAATCACGAGAAGGCAAGACACGCTGGAAAAGACAATAGTGTTTAGAAAAGTTGAAGGCAGCGGGAAAAGAGGAAGACTAAATATAAGATAGATTCATTCCATCAGGGAAGCCACAGTTTGCAAGAGCTGAGCAGGGCAGTTGAAGGCATTTTATTTTGGAGGCAGCTCATTTATGGGGTCACCACAAGTCGGGGTGACTTGACAACAGATAATAAACACCACAGCTCTGCACAGAGGCAATTAGGCCACAGCTAATGACAGCTCTGCAAGAGCTGAGCAGGGCAGTTGAGGACAAGGCATTTTGGAGGCAGCTCATTTATGGGGTCACCACAAGTCGGGGTGACTTGACAACAGATAATAAACACCACAGCTCTGCACAGAGGCAATTAGGCCACAGCTAATGACAGCTCCCCATATATGCACATTAAAAAGTGTGTATTGCTGTCACATGGAATGTACACTCCGTTTTTGCTTATCAGTAGTCTAATGCAGGAATTCAATAACATCTTTAATAATTGGGAGACAGCTAACACTCCTGTTTGCAAGTGCCTGGTTTTCAGTTGCCAGAATTAGGGAGTGAACATTTGGTTTCAAATGTCACGTTTTCATACTGAATGCAATTTCTTCCTTCTGAAATTAATTGGGGATGCTAAGACTTTCCAGACTGAAAGGGTAGCCAACAAAGAAATGCTAAGGAGAATGAATAAGGTCAAGAAATCCCGGAACACATGCAATGCAGAAAACTGGAATATTTCTGTCAGATAACCAGCAATGTAAAGGACAGAAATGGAAAATTTTAAAAAATCTGATTATTCTGTGAAAATAATGGAGGGAAAATACAGGAAAAAATAAAAACTTGAAAACTGTTTCAGATGAGGCACAACGTTATTTTAACAGCTGCTGTATCCAGAGTCAAAATGGCTAAGGGGACACGTAATTTCTTGGAAAAAGAGGAACAAGACGGGGAAAAAAATCATAAAGGGAAATCTGACAGTTATCATTGCACATAAACTATGTCAGCGATTAAGTGATAATGCATATTAATTTCATCTCATTTACCCAATGTTAACAAATGTGAACCGAGGGTGCCACCTTACACCTCTTTACTCTGGATTCTAGAAGGACTTATTCTAAGGAAAGCATATCAATGAAACACTAGCACAAAATATTACATGACGGATACAAGCTTTAACCAAAAACCTAAATACCTGTTAGATATCAATGTAGTATATATGCTGTTGTTTATACCAATGGGTTTTGTTTTTTTTTTTGGTAGCTCTGTTGATATCATTTCTGGAATCTGCAACTGCTTATAATACTGTGTGAACTTTCTTGACCTTATTCTTGCTACCATTGCACTAAAGAGGATATTGGGTTTTTCATCCTCAAGGCATCTCCGACTACAGCTTAGCTCTGCTGGAGCCGGCTTGCAGTGCCTCACATTATTCTCTGAGATACTGTAGATTTACTCACCTGCACAAAACGCCAAAAGGGCACCGAGGAGGCAGAAAAACTGGCGAAGTGGCTGCATTTCTGGCTCAGCCGTCGGTTCTTTCCCTGTCTGCTTTTCCTTTCTGCAGTGGCTCTGGAGCACCCGGGCTGTTCCGGCGCTGGAGAAAAGTTTTGGCCTTCCTCTTCACTCCTCGGCTCTTGGCTAACCCCACCCCAACTGAAACGGCTGAGTTTTGGGAAATGGCTTAGTACGTGAAGCAATTCCAGGGCGGGGTGAAGGCAATCATAATTTTTTTTTTTGGACCTGCAGGTGGACAGGAATGTAAGACTGCCTGAGGGAAGGAAACAGGGGGAATCCCAAAGACCTTGAGGGCAGGAAGAGAAGAAAGTTAGGCAGGGAAATTCCCAGTTTAGACACCTTGGAATTTGAGAATGCACAAATTTCTGTCAGAGGCTCAGGGGTTAGATCAGTAACATCCCCTGCAGGGCTAGGAGATATAAGCTCAGCTTCACAAATGATCAGGGGAGGGTGTTCGGCTGCCATGACCCCATCCCTTGCGCCTCACTGTTTGCTTTTCCTCATGCCACAATGTTTACTTGGCAGGACTTCCTTTCAGTCTTTTTTTTTTCTTTTAAGTACAAAAGACTGCTTATTGTTCGCTGATGACATGGACAAAGTTTCAGTTCTTCAGAAATACAGTATCAGCAAACAAGGGTTGCCAAGTGGAGAGAAAACACACGCAGAGAGACGGGCAAGCTGTGGGTTATTGCTACCGAATCACTGCTGTGCCTCAGACTAGAAATAATAGCTTACAGAAGTTGGTTCAAAGGTGGGCAACCTTTAGCCGGCCCGCCGGCCCTTCCCTCCCACCCCTCCCCACCCCGTTCCTCAAATAGAAGTCAGAAATCGAGGTGCCAGACACAATTGTGCTCATTACACACCAGACCTTGGAAAAGTTGCCCCCGCTGTCGAGTTACCTCCAGTGCTTGGAAATATTAAAAGTCCTCTCACCAGCATGGCTGGGAAAGTAACGTTATCAGGTTCTGCCTTAACATTTAGAGGAGTGGGTTTCATTCTCACACTTTGATCCGCTACATGTTTTTTTAAAAGACTTCCAGTCCCTCAGGAGGTGGTAGGGAGAGCACCAACGTTGGAAGCATTCAAGAGAAAGTTGGACAACCCTCTGTCAGATCTGCTTTGATTTGTGTTCCTGCCTTTGGGCAACAGGGTTGGACTCAATGGTTTTATAGGCCCCTTCCAACACATTTATTCGATAATTCTATGATTCTATGAATTCCCAGAAATCCCGGCCAATATAGGTCGAAAGAGCAGAGGCTCTGGAAGCTGAAGTCTAAAAAAACCCGAGAGGGCCAAAGGTTGTGAACCACTGTTTTAGAGACTCCAGGCCGGTAGCATTCAACACCTGAGGGAACGCTGGCTGAAATCCTAAGCAATGTTGCTTAGCCTTGAAAGTGGCGTTTAGAGTAGGCCATTTTAATCAATACAGCTTACACAGAAGTGGGCTCACCAAATCCTCAGTGATTGAGTGGGCCTTATCTAGTTGCCACTTACTACACTAAGCAACTGGGAGTTCAGCTAGTGAATGACAGGAGGCATTCAGCTGTGAGCAAAACGCTTAGAAATATGATAAGAAAACAATGGTGAGATTAGCTGTTGTTTATTGGGATGAACAGACGGCAAAGTTTGGGATCAATATCACTTCTGAGTGACGAAATACTAAAGACCGATTTGTCATTTGACTCCAGAGTGTGATTCATTGGCTTTACTGAAATGTACAATGTCTAATTGTACAATGTACAATTGCCCTTAAATATATATAGTCAACAACTTCTAATTTAATATAACTCTCAACTATGTATTCTGTAAATACTGTAATAATAATAATATCCTGTCAAGTCAGTTCTGACGTATGATGACTCTTTTCAGGGTTTTTGAGCTAGTGAGTACTCAGAAATGTTTTACTATTTCCTTCTTCTTCAGTTACCCTAGGACTGTGCAGCTTGCCCAAGGTTACTCAGGCTGATTGTACTTGCACGAGGCACACGGGGGAATCAAATTCACAGCCTCTGGCTAACTAAACATAAGAACATAACATAAGGCACACGGGGGGGATCAAATTCACAGCCTCTGGCTAACTAAACATAAGATCATAAGCAGAGCCCTCCTGGATCAGGCCAAGGGCCCAGCTAGTCCAGCTTCCTGTATCTCAAAGAGGCCCCACCAGATGCCTCTGGGAGCACACACAACCACTAGAGACCCGTCTCCTGATACCCCTCCCCTGCATCTGGCATTTGGAGGTACCTTCCTTCTAAGCCTGGAGATTGTACATCCCCATCATGGCTTCTAACCTGCAATGGACGTTTCCTCCAAAATCTGTCAAATTCCCTTTTAAAGGCCTCTGTGGAACTCCTTGCCATCACCACATCCTGTGGCAAGGAGTTCCACAGACTAACAACATGGTCAATAAATATTTTCTTTGGTCTGTTCTCACTTTCCCAACACTCAATTAGAGTGGATGTCCCATGGTTCTAATATTGCGTGAGAGGAAAAGAGCTTCCCTCTATCCATTTTATCCATCCCCGGCATAATTTTAGATGTCTCAATCATGTCCCCCCTCAGGCGCTTTTTCTCTAGACTAAAGAGCCCCAAACACTGTAGCCTTTCCTCATAATGGAGGTGCCCCAACCCAGTCATCATTTTAGTCATTCTCTTCTGCACCTTTTCCAGTTCCACAATGTCCTTTTTGGAGGTGCGGCGACCAGAACTGTACGCAATACTCCAGGCACAGCCTTACCAGCCTTTTGTACAATGGCATTATAATGTTGGCTGTTTTATTGGCTGTTTTATTGGCTGTTTTTTTCACTGCCACCAGTGTCAACACGGTATCAACCCAGTATCAGTTGATACTTTTATCAAGCTGTCCACCAGCACACTGGGATCCCTTTCTGATCCAGCTCAGAACCCATTAGCTGATAAATAAAGTTTTGATTTTTTTTGCCCCAATGTGCGTTACTTTACATTTTCCTCTATTGAAACGCATTTGCCATTTTGCTGCCCATCCTCCCAGTTTGGAGAGATCCTTTTAGGGCTCTTCACAATCCCTTCTGGTCTTCACCACCCGGAAAAGTTTTGTGTCATCTGCAAACTTGGCCACCTCACTGCTTTTCTCTGTCTCCAGGTCATTTATGAACACTGAGCTATCCAGCCAGCTAGATAGATAGATAGATAGATAGATAGATAGATAGATAGATAGATAGATAGATAGATAGATAGATAGATAGATAGATAGATAGATAGATAGATAGATAGATAGATAGATAGATAGATAGATGGCCTAGAAATTCCAGATATCATTCCACGTATTCCATTCATGTTTCTTACATGCTGTAAGAAACATGCTCACCTTTAAAAGGTCACAGGACTCCTTATTGGTTTTATTTCACGCAAGCCTGGAGGTGAGATCGCAGTGTTCCAGCTACTGGCACCCCACCGCTGAAAAAAAATCTGATAATCTATGTGGCCCCAGTATCTTACTGTTATAAACAAGATTATTTGTATTAATGAGTCTCACATCAATGAAAAGCTTTAAGGTTTGCTGGAATGCCAAGCGGAATGTCATCGAAGGTAATTCATTTTCTCCAATTATGAATCTTCTGTTTTCCTGCCATTGTTTTAAATTGACTTTGCTTGTCATGTGCGTTAAAACTTACATTTACGGCTTGGGGAATTTACAATGGTGCTCAAGAACAGGGTCAAAGTTTGGAAGAAGCAAGGGAGGGGAAGGCTCCTTGTTTGGCGCTCCCAGCGCCATGCGCTTCTCCTCGCTGCGCCGTTTCTGATCCAGAGGGGTCCAAAGTCCCCATCCATGTTTGAACAGCAAGACCGTCAACAACATTCTCCAAAACCAAATTGAGAACATACCTCGCGAACCGGATAAGTGAGGCATCCAATCAGCAAGCGGAATTATTCCATATAGTACGTGACCTATCCGGAATTGGCCCGGGTGATAGGCCTCCCCCTAGTTTTACACCGGACCAATTTGCAGCATTTTTTATTTATTTATTTATTTATTTATTTAATTTATATGCCGCCCACACTACCCAAAGGTCTCTGGGCGGCTTACAGCATTAAATACAATAAAAATATGTACAATTAAAATACAATTAAAATATATATAAAATTGCCATCAGACCCACAGTTAATATTATTTCAGTTAAAAGCCTTCTGGAACAGGAAGGTTTTGACCTGGCGCCAAAATGTCATCAGTGTCGGCGCCAGACGAATCTCAGTCGGGAGGGCATTCCATAGTCTTCAGACTTCTACCTTGTCTCTTGGGCTATTTAACATGTACAGTACCTTAATTCACCAGGTTATCTGGAGCTGTGTGTCCGGGTCGGGGTTAGGGTCTGTACAGCTAATATGCTAACAATACCCAACTCATATCTCTCCTTTGCCTCGAAACCAAAGGAATCTGTTCTGGTTCAAAACCATATGGTGTTAGTAATGGACTGGATAAAATTGAAACTTCATTCGGATAAGACGGAGCTGCTCCTTGACGACTGAAAGGCAAATCAGGAAATAGGAAATGGAGACTTGGGTTCATACTGAGGCAATGCTTCTGGATTCAGTCCTGAATCTAGAGGTCTAGGTTTTTGGTGATGGCCAGGGAGGTGAAAATATAATGTATTTTTTGAAAGCAGTTTTAAAGGAAATTCATGAATAGCTGAGGCCAGATATGCCATTTCTGGATTTTCCGCTCTGTTTCCCATGGTACTTTAGGGACATCATATCGATCCTCCACTTGTTTTAATATTTTATAAATTTTACTTATTATCTCACTCATCCACATATTGTCTTTGCTTTTGTACTACTACTCTTCAAATTTAGTGTAGCCGCTACATTTTTAATTTTTCTTTGTTTATTTATTTATTTAATTTATTAAATTTATACCCTGCCCATCTAGACCGAAGTCCACCCCTTAGTCCATTGTTCTAATTGGATTAGACTAAACCCAAGTTAATTTCCCATTTCTAATTCTGCCTTTATCTTTTCCCTGTTATTCAACTTCTCCAACCAATCCTTTAACTTAATACAGTGGGGTCTTGACTTAAGAACGGCTCGAATTAAGAACATTTTGACTTAAGAACCACTTCCATAGGAAAATATTCACTTGACTTACATACTTAGATTTGAGTTGAGAACTGAAAAAAAAACACGTGGGAGGCAGCG